TTTGGCTAAAGCCCAAGTTTTGGCAGCTCTCTCTCTCTCTCTCTCTCTCCCCCACCTCTTTTCGGTCTTTATGCATCTCTTAAAGAACACACAGTGTGCCTGGCAAGCAGATGTTTGAGGGAAGCTTGTTATGCATGTTTTCTTTCACAGGGGCATCTTAAGCCCTTAAACTTGGCATAAACGTGATCTGAGCATGGTGATTGGACCGTCATCCAAGCAAATTACACTTGCCTTTTTAAAATATAGCTTATCACAACTTAAAATGCAAGATATAATCAGGTCTCATTTCCCCATGCAATATTTAATTTTTTTTAATTCAGCTTGTGGACCATCAGAGCGGAGATGTGTTCAATGCTTTATCAAATGTTTTTATCAAATGTTTCTGCACGATCACAGTGCAGAGCGTTCCTGGCCCATGTGAGAAATTTAACTGTAGCTACATCAGTTGTAAACATGCTTATTTGCAGCCTACTGTGGTGAAATTGGTCTCTGGAGTGAGGTTTTCTAGTTTAAAGACTAGGAGACCCCCCTGTGATGGTGGGAGGAACTTTTGAAAACGTACAACTGCTTTGAGGTGGATTTTTGGGGCCATTGAGCTGTCGTTACTGCTAGGAAGCCAGCTGTTTTATTGCAGTCATATAACTGTGGTCTTCAGATCATCATTACAATGGTGAGAATGGATTACTTAAATAACAGAAGTGAAGATCAGATGTGGAGGACAACAAGCTTAAAGCTAAAGATAGCAACCTGGCTATCTAGATACTGTTCCTCAGATTGGTTCCTTTTGGCTGAAAGGGTAAAAACCAGTCTCTGGTGTTCATTTTGTGCTGACCAAGGTGAGTTACTCTAATGCTAGCTGTATTCATTAGCACATAGATCAGTGGCTAGGCTAGCTGTTATGGTTGGTTGCCACCACAGGGATTCCAAATGTTTGTGTGGTGTATTTGCTTGGTATTGTAGAACGTAAACATATAAATCTATGAATTCTGTCAAACCGATGTGGCTGAGGGATCTACTGTTGTTCTACGGATTACAAAACATATAAAATGATAGTTTTTGGCCTGAATGCCTAAAGTTACAGTAGAGGAAAAGACAGCAAGTTATGTGTGTTTTGCTTACCAGCCACAAGAGAAGCACAGTTGAAAAAAAGGGCTAAAATCGCAGCCAGAAGTGGTGGGAGAATTGCGTACTGTCCTTGACTGGCGGCAAATGGCTTTTCGTAAGCATACATTTGAATATGTGATGCCTAAAAATAACGTTTTGAACTGCAGAACCATAGACCTGTATTTATGTGCACGTTTAAGTAGAAAGGAGGAGCAATTTTGAAAGTTCTGGGCGGAGTGCGTGTGACATTGGGCTGTGAATAGCCAAGCCGGTCGTTTGACTTGATCTCTCTCTCAAGACTGGACATTAAACAGATACCAAATCACAAGAATGTCTTCTGTTCAGCAATTTTTACAAGCACTATCTAAAAGCGTCCATGTTTATTTCAGCACGTATCTTCTTTTCCACTCCAAACCCTCCTCAGAAATAGAACCTCCCACTACTGTGCTAGTACTGTGGATGTTTTGTCTGTGTGGGTGTTATTGATAAGGGATGGCTGGTGTATGTGTAATAGCGATAAAGGTATACGTCAGCATAAATCTCAACTCACAGTAGCAATTCCATTTGGGTGGAAATTGGCTGAAGTAAATCATTCATTCTTGTGGCCTGTCGGCGCTGCCTGGGGTTATGGACAAGAGTATTGTGCCAGCTGAACAGGGACCAGTCGACCGTAAAAGCCTCTTCCGATCAAGGCTGATGTCGGACCCATTAGCGCTGGAGTGGCCAGTCCCAGATCAGGGACGATCCTTGTCTGATGGGGCAGGCCGGCGTGCAGGTTCTAGATGACTGCTCTAGAGTCAGTTGTTGGGTGCTGTGATTCATCGGAGCCTTATCAGTCATTGTCAGTTCTCCTCTGTAACACGGGGGGGGGGTTAGGATTAGCTGCTTTGGCTCTTAAAGCAAGATTATATCATAGAGCATCAGCAAGGCTCTGGAAGAGCTGGAAATGTTGCTGCACCACAATACCAAATGGACCACACACATATTGTATGCACAGTCTAGAGCAGGGATTTCAGACTCAACCTGGAGGCCACCAGCCCGGTGGTTTGCTTCAAGGGGGGCTGGTTGGAAAATGTGGGTATAAAAGTGTCCCATTTTTATGGGACACTCATTAGGGTTAGGCTTTGGACTGGGGTTAGGGTTAGGACCAGGGTGAGGGTTGGCTTTGGGTTTTAAGGTTTAAGTTTAGGGTTAGGATTAGAGCCGGGTTTATAGTTAAAGAAAATGATGGTCAATTTAGTAGATATTTCGTTGAATGTAACTTGAAAGTAAATTAAGTACCTACAAATTATCTAAAGTGGACTGTCCAACTGAAGTGTTACCTGAATTTTTTGCTGACAATTAACTGTCATAAATAGTTGCGATTTACGATTTAATTGTTGCTAACTATTAAAGTGGTCAGATTGGCTGATTAGCTCTCTTACTTCCTAGCTGTCGATATTTAGTCACTCCCAACCAATGACGAACAGCTCAAGCTTAAATAGACCACTGTAGTCGTGCGTAATACTGTAGTCCTCGTAATGCGCATATTAAGAACTCCGGGTCTAAGCCCCATTTTTCTATGGCCAGAATGAATAGGGTTTTCGAAAAATCGTCTATCGCCCCCTGCGTTAAATAAAAATGTTCAGAACTCGATACGTTTTGTCCTGTGTACATTCTTCTCCTGAATACCACTGGATCCGAATTACGAGGTTGTAAAGAGCTATAATACTAATATTGCTGTAGGAGAGCTAAAGCTACTGCGCATCGATTTGGTGTCACTAAGCCATGACATGGCTTTTCTGCTATTTTCACACTCACAATTCACATTCTGTTTGTTAACTGCGATTAGCTCAAATACTTGTGATCAGGTGATGTAAAAATTGTGACAGCTAGCAAAGTGGCTAATTCTGCGTTCTCAGTATATTTGTTTGATAATTTCATTCATTTCTTAATTCTGACTCACCATATGTACAGCTATGCCATGAATGAATCCACAAAGGCAGATCTAACTAACTATTGATCTAAATTAGAATAATAGATAACTATGTTCGTTATACCTAAACTACAACCATTGCCGCTCAGTGTACAGCGTTCCTGCTGCGTCAGGTTTTCATTTGGATGCTTCCTCTTGCATGCAGCGCTCTAGTTTTGCTTTTAACAACATGAGCATCAGCCTAAGCTGATTTTATATAGCTTATGTTGGATAACCAGCCACAGTGTCTGGTGGGTGAAGCAAATCTACTCGTCAAGTGTAAATATTTAGCTGCAGTAAGATTTGTTAGATATGTAACTGGCCGTATAGCGAGAGAAGCTGTCTCCAGCCTGTGAGCCAGTAGTCTGAGAGCACCGCTGTACAGTCTGCAGTAGCGTCACCCTGTGTCTCTTACTGGAATGAAACTACATGTTTCCAGTGGAGGAGAGAGAGCAAAAGGTATTTACTGCGTATCTGTTCCTCTGCACATGCTGGTGTGCTGGTGGTCTCTTTTGCTATAACAAAGGAGACCATACATCAAATAAAACAGTTTAGGAGTCCCTTTATATATGAGGGTGTTTTAATGAATGGAAGCAGGGGCTGATAAAAAAAAGGCAGCAGCGGTTTGTCTGCAGCTGGAAGCTGTGTGTTGGTATCTATGGAACAGCTGTCCAACAGAATTTATACACACACACTAACTCTCTTTAGACCTCGCTTTGTTTGGACGTCCCTGTTTGTTCTGCAAGGGTTTGTCGGAATAACATGTAGAGATAAGCGTTCCGCAGCTCGGCAGCTGAGCCGAACTTGGATCTCAGCTCTGTGCTCTTTTTTCCCCAGGTTATGTTTAGGTTTGTGCTTCCTAGATTTTAGGCCTTAAAATCATTTTTAATTAATTGTTGTGCGAAAAGAGGACTAACAATGTGAGACAGTTAATATATCTGTTGTAAACTGGAACTTAGAGATGCCTTTGTGGAGTATAAAACTCGTGCATATGCAATTGGTATAAAATTGACCACAATCCCACAGTGAGTTTCTATACTGCTGAAGTGGTTTTCCATATGCAGGGGTAGGGCTAGGTTCCAGATAGAGTTTTGCCATATGTTTTCACCTATAGTGACCAAAAGCAATCAAATTTAAAAGAGCATTCTGACCTAAAACAATAATTGAACATGTAAAACAATATTCTGTAGTGCAGCGTTTTCTCTCTCAGCCTGATCGGCTTGATACAGTTCACACTTCTATATCATGCTTTTGTTTATCAGTGTTCTTTCACTGCAATACCCAGCATGTATTACTCTAATACATCATTGGGACAACTGGGAATCCCTGTGGTGTCAACCAATCCCAACTGCTAGCCTGCAGCCACTGATCTACAGGCTAATAAGAACAAGCAATACAATAAAAACAATACAAACAGTGATTCTATCTTCACAAAACGAACACCAGAGACATTTTTACCCTTTTCATCAAAAAAGGCAAACTGAGGTAAGATATCTATATAGGATAAGATAAGAAAATTCTTTATCAGTCGGGGAAATTCACAGTGCTATAGCAGCAAAGGGATAGAGTTGCTACAGTTTAGTGTTTAGAGCTATCTGGCCTCCTTCGCATTCACCAGCTCTAGAGAGCAGCACTGCTGTATTAGGCGAGCAGGCATGTTTACAACAGATGTAGTGATGGATACATTTTTCATTTTGTCATTTAACTCTTCCTCTCTTGTCTGCTTGTACCCCCTGCACGGACACAGAGTGACTTTGAACTGTGGACCAGCAGGACAAGTCTTCCAACATGTGGAAGTCTGTGTTACGCCACATGTCCCATGTTGTTAATGCACTGTGCGTGTTCAGAGCTCCACATCAAAGCGTTTTAAAAACTCCTTCATCTCAAGGGGGACTGAGCCTCCTTTGTATTCATCCACCCTTCTTTCTCTCTTTCCTTGCAGACTGCTCTCTTCCCAAGTGTGAACCCAAGCTCGATTTAGCTGGACACACAGGTGAGTGACTGGACCATACGATGATCTTTTGACAGTGCATTTGGACCAGGAGTGTAAAGCAGTGCCAAGCAAAAAGTGTGGCACAGTAATTAAGTCCTATTCGCAAAGTCACCTGTGGATGATTAGGGCACCTGTCTTCACTTACTATAGTGGTATACCAAAATCTGCATGTTAATGAGGTAGTGCATTTTAAAGACCAGCACACAGTGAAGGCCTGTTTGGGTGCCAAAATGGATGTTAGATCAAAGAAGACAAAGTCTCAAAAGCAGAGCTAAGAATTCCAAGAAAAGAAGAATCTTAGGAACTTCTCTCCACAGTCAGAAGAAGTCGTAGGATAGAAAAGTGAAATAAAAAGCATCCACATTTTGCTGGGAATCCCAGCAGATTTCAGCATTCGTCTTTTAAAGCATGACAAAGCAGCAGAGTTGTATCTCTACCATATATATTTGTATTTTTTTCAGTCTGAGAGATTAGCTGAGAGGCTGTGAAATACTCCACATACTGATGGCTGCAGTCATCCACCGAATTCTGTATTAATGTGGCAAGTTATTAATGACTGTTGTGCTGTTTATGAAATTATAATCTTGCTTGGAGGAAGAATTGTTTATTGCAGTTTCTGATTTTAATTATTTTTAATTATTAATAGTAAATTGGATATGTTTTATGAATCTCCTTTTGTGTTAATCTGTATCTGTCTCAAATCTAGGTATTGATGGTCTTCATAGTTTTTTCTAGAGGTAGTTTAATTCTATCACAGTACAAATTATTTTCAAACCAGTTTTCACCTTGACCCACTCCAGATGTGCTCTAGAATTCCTCAGTAAGAATCCATTTGTACATACAGCTGTAGCATCAATACTTTTAGCTGTCCTTATCAAGTGAACTGCCCTGTAGTTCATCCAGTCATGCCAATTCAACTAACAATTGTTGGACAAATGGCCTCTAAAAAGGCTGATGCCATACTGAACTAATGGAATAAAAGAAGTGAAAGCTCGTGAAGTATATGTGGGGTTCATTTTGCTTGATTATGTTTACAGCTCCACAGAGAAGAGCCCAAATGGTCTTAGAGTGGTTGGACCTAATGATGCCTTTCACTCTGCTTGTTTGATTTTAGGAAATTACCCTGTATTGGGCACCAGCGGATTACTGTTAGGCTTTAGTTGCTGTTGCCGGGTATAAAAATATGGTATATAGTATATTAGAAATGACTAAATTGGATGGATCTTCACTGTTTATCGTTGGTCCAGTGTTTCTAACTCCCAGGGTATTTTTAGGGATATTCTTGTCCTGGTGTCTTGGGCCATGTGAATATTTCAGAGTCAATCTGCATGATTTTTTTGTGTTTGTATAACACTGCCACGCCAGTTAAGTGAGAAATACTGTTTATCTCTGTGCTCTCTGAGCTGCATGGAGAATTTCAATTAGCTGTGCAAATTCCCTTCAGCGATGCTGAATGCTAAAGCAGTTAAGTAAGCATGTCTAAAAATATCCAGAGGTGCAGGACATGTTATACTTTTCAAATTCATGCCTTATCACTACCACATTTTTGGTGGCAGTCACCTTCAATTTAGGCCTGTTTTTCCTTTCATGCTGGTTGCCTAACAGCTAAATAGAGCTGATCGTCATTACAAATGACCGCACAGTCCTTTCAGGTCTCATCAAATTAAAATCAATGTTACTTTTCTTTTTAAATAAAGAAATACAATTGGTGAAAATAACCCTTGTTATGTTTTATAAATTGCATATCTAGACTGGAATCCTTTCCATCGATTATAGCTGGAGCACTTCTAAAGTCATAAGCAATGGAGAGGTGTACATTAACAATGAATGGACACACCAGCACCGGGTTCTGCCGCATTCCCAGCAGTGTTAAGGCCCTTCTCTAATTGGAGACTGAAGTGTATTACGCTCATACTGAGCTTGGCCGGACTCGGCTGGTCTCTCTGGGCCGCAGGGAGAACATTTGCACAAAGAAGCTCTCTAGAGGAGGCCTTTGTGTAAGTTGCCAAAGCCCTTTACCAGACCGTCACTGCCAATCAGACCGCCAAAGCTGCTGGCCTGGTCTGGACCGGGCTTGAAAGCACCAGAGCGTCTCTTTCAGCCTCTGCAGCGAAGGACAAACCTTTAAGTGTCAGGCTTGTATCCGGAGGGCTTCTTAAGCAGGTGAAAAACGCTATTCAGAGATGTTTTGAAAGCCGAAAGCAAATTATTCAGTTAAATAAAACACTGCATTTGGAAAGAGGCTAACTTGAATATCTTGTTGAGCCATCTGAAGCTTTCATTAAGGCCAAATAGTAACAGTAAGAATGTGAAGAAGTGTTTTTTACTGTTTTCTTCCCATCTCGTTTTCTGCATTTGTGTATATTTTAACACTGACTTTTATATTGGAAAAATGGGAAGCTAACGGAACACGAAGCACTAATTTATAATACATGTGTCAGAGCGTTATTTGCCTTTTTTCTGCCTTTTGCCACATAAGCCCACAAAAAGAACAAATTAAATTGAAACTGAAAAATGTGCCAGCAGAAAAAAAAGGAACAACATTATGGTGAGAACTGACAGCTGACTAGAACGATGCCTGCCACACCAGAACAGCAGACAGCCTGTCTGTACAGTTTATAAATGTGTGATAAATGGGCGAACTGGACAGTTTTCCAGGTCAGGTCTGTGTTTTGCTTCACTATCAGAGAGATTCTAGGACAGGGGTGTCCAGTTTTACCTGCAAAGGGTGTGGCTGCAGGTTTTCAATTCAACAAAGCAGGAGCAAACCTGATCAGCTGTTTGAAAACTGAGACCAAATGATTGAAAAGTAGAATTAGGTGCCATCCTGCTTGTTTGGAATGAAAACCTGCAGCTGCACAGGCCCTTTGCAGGTGAGATTAGACACCCCTGTTGTAGGACTTATAAGAGTCCAAGGAGGAAAGTGGCTATTTAGGTCTAAAATGTGATAAACTGTCATTTTATTTCACTAAGGCTGTTCTGTAAAAGTTGGGGACCAATTGCATTAAATATAAACCTTATAGGATAGATAGATAGATTGATAGATTGATTGACTGAGTGATTGATTACATGGCGTTACAGAAGTATTTGGACACCCCTTAGTGGGTGCCAACCATGCCCATTGCTTCCAGTTGCCAAAGCAGTGTAATCACTTTCTCTGGAGTGTAAAATCATGCTTCACCATCTGTCAATCTGATGGATGAAGCTGGGCTTATTGGACGCCAGAAGAACACTACATACCTGAATACATAGTGTGAACTGTAAAGTTTGGTGGAGGAGGAATAACGGGTTGTTATAAAACAGATAGCTCCAGTCCTAAACTCTGATTGGCTGAGCACTGTTCGAAGCCGCTGTAAAATGCGTGATATATGCACACCAATGACCGCCTCACAACAACTGAACTGTATTACTGCACCACAGTACGAAAAATCCTTATGCTGTTAATAGAATAATCTTTGACTCCAATGCTGGACCACCAAGTGTACTGATGAAGTAAGAACCTGTTTTTTTTAACTGAGGGGCTTAACTAGAACCAGGCTAGTCAGATCAATAACAAACTGAAAGATAGCTAACAGCCTAAACAGCTCCATCATTAATATCACAGGCTTGAATTAAGTATAGTACTTGTGGTACGATTAACTGTGAAACGGCAGTTTAAAAGTCTAAAGAATGTCACCTGAATGGCTTATGCGTTTCAAACGTTCATGTTTTGGTCAGAAGTAGTGTCAAACCCAGGCTGAATCCCAGATGGCTCTGTACTCCCTAAATAGTGTGCTGTGGAAGTCTTAAAATTCTACCTTCTACAGTCTAAGTGCACTATGTAGGGAGCATGGAGTCGTTTGAGATTCAGCCCCAGCGTGGGAAGAGAGGCATCGTTGCAGAGGTGCTGTATAAGACTTGTGGTAGTAATTTGGTGAGCAAGAGGTTAAACAGTGCTATGTTATCAAATGTTCATTGTTATCTGCAGAAAAGTGGAAAAGTTCATGAAATGACCGCAGTATACAGTGACAGGCAACTGAACGTTCTTCTCCTCATTTAGCGGTCAATGCTTGCTTGGCAACAATCTCATACACTAAAGGAACTACATGTCTTAGAGTTTTAGGCACTCCGCTTCGCATTGTTCCTAAAAACACTCTACCCCGCAGTAACACCAGCCTCTCATGGCTTATTGAATTATTATTTCATGGTTTGATCTAGGCCTCTCACGTCCAGTGAAGGGAAGTTTGCAAGTTACAGCATAGAAAGACATAATCGAACATTAATACTGACCTTACTAATGGCCTTGAGGCTGAATGGAAGTGAATCCCCGCAAAAAGTCTGAAATCTAACTGAAAGCCTTCCTAGAAGATTGGAAGCATTTACTGCATGTTCAGGTGTCCACATATGTGTAAGGCATATGGGAATTACCAAACTTGAGATAAGAACACAGAATCCTGCTTAGTTTGAAACTTATAAAAACTCAAAACTTATAGCATTTTCCACTGGGCAGTATGTTACAGTGCAGTATGGTTACTAATCTGAACCAAGAGCTTGATTGTATACTTGTGTCCATTTCTCATTTTATAACAGAACCATGACAGTAGGCGGGGTTCTCTTGAGTGTTCACATGATTTCTCATGCAGATCTAGTGTTAAACAGTAAACACAAACGACAATCCAAAGTGCTTCACACAGATACTGAAAAATAATAATATTAAGTAATGTTAAATAATAAAGCTTATGACGTCGTGAGATCTAGCACTTTAGAAAGGCATTTGCAGAAATAGTTTTTGTATAGTGAAAATTGAAGGGCATTGTAGAGATACAGTGATTGAGATAAAGTGCAGTGCTAAACAGATGAACAGGAAAACAAGTATGTATTTAAACTGGCCGTAAAGATGTCTACATTTGGAGCCATGTGGGAGTTTGTTCCAGCAGTTGGCAGCCACACCGTATTTGGTTCTGAGTCTAGGGCACTACTAACTGACCGGTCCCGAGTGATCAGAGAGGCCTGTTCCTTTC